ATTAGGGGCCGTTCACTTATTACGTTACGCAAAAAAATGACTTTTTTCACCCCCTCCCCCCCCTTGTTACAATATGTTACAACTCATAACCCCCCCCCCCCCCCCCTGAACGTTCATAATTTATTTTATCATTAAAAAGGTGAAAAATTTAAAAAAATGTTTTTGGTATGAATTTGTAAACAAATTTTTTTGGTAAACTTTTTTTTAAGACAGACGACAGTTCGAACGTTACATACTTCTTGACCCCCCCCCCCCCCTATGTTACATTTTGTTATAATTTTTCAAACCCCCCTCCCCCCTAAAATGCGAACGTAATAAGTGAACGGCCCCTTATGTTAAATTTTTTGCTTTCTTTTATTAGCAATCTTTTGGAAGTGCTTGTTTTATAGAATTTCATCATTTTGTGTTTGGATCATTGTTTTCTTTTTAATTGACGGCAATCAGAAAAAAATATCCCCTAACCCCCGTAATTGTCACAAAACAACTTCTGATCCCTTTCCTCTAAATGTAGGACATCATTTATAAACAGATCTTTAAGAATATTTCATCAGATCTCTGAATTGTCCAAAAAAGACGAGGGCTCATCAGGTTGGAGTGTAGACTGAATTTTTTTTGAGGTTTATGAGATAATCTAGAAAAATCTCCAGGCTCGGAAACTAGGCGGTATACCGCCAAATACCCCCCAACTTCGATACAAATACCTCAAAATACCCCCAAATGCCTAGTTTCTGAGCCTGGGAAAATCTATATTCTAGAATTTTCTCAAAAACCCTATCAAAATGATGACATCCAGATCCAGAGGAGAGGTGGAAAAAATTACTCAAATTTCCCTGGCTACGTGCCTGTTGATACATGGTTAATTATGTTACTATAGCTTCGGAAAACATTTTATTTAATAAAACCTTTTTATAAAGTAACATTTTGAAAAGAGTCCTAAAATCACTTGGACACCCTGAATAACGCCTATAAAATTATTTATAATTGAATGAAACCATACTGATGATTGCGCTTCTCTCTTATTTAACCTTAAAACCTTAATTCAACTTCTAACTTTCTATTTTTTCCAATCGTTCACTCATGTAAATGTGATTTGCTTACAATTCGTAGAAGAACTTGAATGAATGTGAAACAAGTATAAAGGAAAGAAATATGTTAATATTGTAAATGTGGATGAGAAAATTAATCTATTGAAAACTTTTTATGGTACTCACTTGCTTAAAAATGCAGAAAAAAACTTCTTTGATTTTTTATTATTTTTTTCTGGCTTGAAATTTTTGGAGTTTTTAAGGGGGTTTGGGTAGCAACATTAAAAGGAGTGAAATATTTTACACACATTTGAGTAAATGAATCAATTAGATCAGTTCCAATTCATCCAAATTTGATTAAATTAATCAATTTTCCACACTACTCTACTGCTGTGCTGAAAGAAAGATAAATATTGTCGTACAAAAGAATCAGCGTTGATAATTTTTCCCTCTACATATCAATTGTTGGACATTTTATTATCAAGAGTCGGAGTTTCATGACTCGTTTTGACTAAAATGCGTTGCGAAGATAATTTTTTGCAATTTCACTTTTATCATCATTTCGTCTTCCTTTCTTTGCTTTCATTTCATTCGAAATTGAATATTTTTCTCATTTTTTTGCCTTCTGACAGGAAGGAAGTACGATACAGCTTCCTTTAGTTTGCGCTACGGTGATTCAACTATAATCAGCCATACGCCGAAAAAAAATGCTGAATAAAAGTTGACAATAGTCATTGCATACGTACGATTGTACATGTATGTCTCCATTTAATTGCTAATTATTCAGTTCTTGCTATTTTTTGTGACTCATCGATGCGATGATTACATCTTATTAACAATAAAAGAATTTCTTTTGTATCTCCTTACAAATTGAATTTCTTATCTCAAAACTATCAGAATTTTTAGCCTCTTGATTTTTATTTCTCCTTTTTCAAAATTAATTTTATACATTCCAAGCTCGTTCTTTTCCATTTTTTTTTCGTACTTCGATTTAATTACAAAACACAGAAGAAATGAATGGATGTGAAGAAGGGCCACAAGTAGCATCAAAGAGATATTTGATGAGAGGGTAAATGAGCATAAGCATGTTCATTTCAATATTAAGGCTGAAGAAATTCTTAAAGTTGAATCACTTGACAAGATTAGATTGATTGAATATGAGAAGCATTTGCATAAGTATCGCAGGTTGTTGTGTCGACCACTTTATTGACTCTTTGGTTCTATTATTTAAATTATTTTTCGGTTTATTCTCTTTGGAAAACCAAGCATCCCATAAATTTTTATCGGATAATTCAACTTCTTGGTCTTAGATTATAGTATTGAAACATCTAGAAGGAAGAAGCAAACTTCTAGATGACAAAACCACAGAATAAAGTATAACTCAGAATAACGGATCCCGAGCGGGACTCGAACCCACTTCCTACGATTTCTGGTCGCATGCTCCTGCCACTGAGCTATCGGGGGTTAGGTGACTATTTAGCTAAATCCCATACATAAGTTACACTCTTTTTACTGTTCCTTTGCAACACATGATTTATCGTTGAATTGTTATTACATGGAATCGCATATTCCAACAAAGAGATCATTCACTTATGTATGATGCATGATGTCCATTATTTATATAAGTACACTGAACCTACGCTAATGTACTTCAAACTATTTTTTGGACCTATAAAGTAAGCAGTAATATTGTAGTTCAAAATTTACCAATATGGATCCAACTTAAATTATTCCTCCTAGAGAATATTTTTGTAGACAGCCTGACAAAATAATTCAATCAAAGATTTCATCCCACGAAAAAAAGACGATGAAGGAAAGGAAGAATAAAATATAAAATAAAGAATTTGATATGTCTTGTGAGATAAAACAGACATACTGTGTGTGTAACTAAGTATACGAGAACGAGAGAATTATACAACAACGATACATGTATCATTTTGTGGTCATCTGATACAAGCAATTAACATAAAGAAGGAGGAGGAAAACGAAGAAAATGAAGGCAAAGGAAAACTTTTTGTTTCTTTCTTTTCCTCATTTCATTGTCACATACATTCATTCCTACATAATATAAACATGGCAATAATAATGGGTAGAAATTTTCTGTAAAAATTAACAACTATAAAGTTTCTCCTCATTGCTTCCTTATATGCCAGTATTTTAAATGAAATACTATCCGTAGGAGAATAATAAATTTCATTAATTTTAGATTAAGATTTTTTGGTGATGTATAGCATGCAAAAAGGACAAACAAATTTGGGTCAAGACACACGTTTTTTTCCATCTTACGGCAATAAACAGAAGAAATTGTTTTAAAGTACAAGACTAACATATTGTTATTAAGGAACCAAGAAAAGGATTCTGTAAACAGTATGTCCTTCTTTCTGTAAGATTTAAATGAAAAACACATTGGAAAGAGGCAGGCAGTAAGCGAGAATGGGAATATGTAAAATAAACGAAGGACAAAAGGGTCATTTTAATTTTTTTTGTCTTCTTCGTATTCTCCTTTATTTGATTGTGAATGCCAACAATAATAAAATACAATGAGAAGAGAGGAAGAAAATTAAAATAACAATTATGGCTGAAAGTCAAGAGAAGTCAACACTAAGATCCACTTACTTCGTTCTCTATCAGAACTATGAAATTCTATGTCAAAATATCTGTGCTTAGAAGCTTTAACCAACCCGATGTTGTAAAAAAGTAAACTTTAGCATTCAGACCTTAGAGATTCATAGCTGCGCATTTTATGCGTTACAAGGCTAATAATAGTTTAATGAGAGAGGTTTCGCCAGACCTAACGCTCAAACCTAGACCTACAGTTTATAGTGGGATCCGAACCACTCCTCTGATGACATTGCTACTCCTCTGATGACATTGCTACATATAGCCTAAAAAGGAAGGCTGTGAGCCTCATTTCCAGTACATATGATTCGAAAAAGGACAAGTGAAAAATTTCCCATACCCAGTCTCGAACCCATGATCGCTGTGTCGGTATTGCAATAATTAGGTACCGAAGTACTAAACCATTCCAGCACCGAGCCATTTCAACCGACCCGCTGTTGTATATTCCTAAATTCTGAATCTATAAATCTAAAACAACTCTTTTTATTTATTAAATCCAGTTTTCTTTTATGTCCATAAAAAAATAGATTTAAAGAATTAAGTGCATAATGGACATAACAGGCAATCCTCAACCCACCGCAAAAAGAAAATATTTCATAATTTTTGACCAGCATCGCATTATCTCACATTTCATTGTAATTAAGTATCAAATAAAAATAATAATGATAATTTAATATACATAATGATAATCTGTGCTGGAAATAAGAAGAAGGAAATCTGAAATCCTTGAGATTCACATTTATTTGTCGTCTTTATAGTTGAGTGGGATTTATCTTTCTGATGTATGGGATAATTATAAAAATATTTAGTTGCCACTAACATCTTATAACGAGCATGTTTATTGTAAAGTATGGAAAGGAAAAATACATTCCATACACAATTATTCTTATGTGATTTTCCATTGTTCTTGTGGTTAATATGAATTTAAATTTTTGAGCTTGAATCAATTGCTGCATTATATTCAGTTTGTCCATAAAGTAAGTTCATGAGTTTAAGGCAGATGAACTAGTTTTATCGAAAAAGTACGTGACTTTTCTAAATTTAAATCAAATCTATTTAAATCGAGGAACTAGACCTCAAAAGAATTGATCTCCTCTAATTTATGTTAACAAGATATGTAGGTATTACATAAATGCGTATAGTAACATCAAAAATTCCTACTTACCACTTTTGTCTTTGCGATAGTTGGAACTTACAAAAACATTATAGATAGATCTATAAGAATAATAAGAAATATTCATTATTAATATATGACTCTTAATGGAATATTTCGTTAGATTTTTATTGTATTCTACAACATAAAAGGAATGAAAATATAGCATAACATAACATAATGAAGGAATGAAAAGACATAATCTTCAGTTAATAAAAATATGATGTATAATGACAATTTATGGAATGTCGATGATGGCCAAGAAGACACCCAAGATGAAAATGGAACATGGAAAATTGGTTTGAGAGGAATAATCATCGTCATCATCATTGCTTATGAATGCCAGATAATACCCAATGTTACATCTTCAAATTTGAATAAATGCTGTTCATCGTCATTATTTTTATGATCTGATGGCATAAAACAGTTAATTACAATAAAATATCGCTGAAATGTTCTTTACAACATAGGCTTATGCGTTATATGAGCATTAATGGTCATAGATAGATGCTCATTATATTTATTCGCTTTTTCCGTTCTCATCTTTTCATTCTTGAATGAATTATTAATGTTATGGACCGGGAAGGAGGGGAGGGTAATGGAATATGTGCAACTTACTTTATGCAATATCATCTCTACTGAAGGAAATTGACTCTTGTGAGCTATTATTGCTTCTGTCATTAATAAATATGTTTCTTGTTTCTTTTATCTCAAATGCTCGTTGATTGCTCCTAAATTAATTTTTGAGCAGCTTACCAATTGCATTTAATGCTTTTGTAGTCTTTGGACTATCGTCTCATATTGTATACTTGCCGCATGATTTAGCAACTTTAAAAAATAATAATCATCTGTAGCTTAAAATAAGCTTATCTCAACTAATAGATAAACTTTAATCAGGAAAGTATACTGATAAAGCAGTATATACGTCGAAGTAAATATTCGAGAAATTTCCAGTCTATCATTTGATTTTCATTAAGCATCACTAAAATGTTGAAAATAATTGTAAGCTTGATATTAATTTTTGCCTTGACAAATGGACAAGAAACTTTTTGGTCAGCGTGTCAAAATTCAAATGGAGTAGCTCCAGATCTTGTTGAATCTGATGCTTGCTCTGGAACATTGTGTCAAGGACAGCGAGGAACTGTTTTGCGAGCGGAAGTTACATTTACTCCTAGGCAAAATCACAATAATTTGGAAGTTCGAGTTTATGCAACTATTTTAGGAATTACCGTTCTCCTTCCATCAGAGCCTCCACATGATAATGTAAGAAATCTGAGACTTACTTTTTTAAGGCATTCAATTAATCTTAAATTCTAATCTTTAGGCCTGCAATAATATTTTCCATAATAATCAACAACAACAATGTCCAATAGTAGGACAACGCCAATACTTATGGATAATAGACATGTTGATTCCTCAGAGTCTTCCAGCACTTAGCACAAGAGTTCGATGTAAGTTTATCAAGTTCTAAAGCTTTCTTGCTTCCTTTTTATGCTTCTGAATTTAATTTTTATTTTATTCTATCAGATGAAATTTGGGACGGAACAACAGAAGTACTGTGTGCAATGATTAATGCGGTTTTGACATAAATAAAACGTTATCAAATTTTCAATTGATGTGATAAAATGTACGTGAAAACAGGTGCCAATTTCAGGCTTTTGAAGAATGTTGTGATGATAATAAAACAATTATTTTGATAATTGCCAATTACAAAGATTTGATAAAAATGTTTTGAGTTTTGATAAAGCCGAGATTTCATACTTTGTAAAGGAATCTTGAAGATATTTTTAAAATATCAACATCAACATGCCGTTAAACCGTGATAATGTAATGCAAAAGCTTTTTACTGTTACTTGATAATTCATTAAAAGTGTACCCTTATTAAGTTACGCAATAATTTAACCTTTTTTACCTCCTTCCTCCTAAAAAGGGCATGGTACAATAGATTCTTTACGAATTGAATTGCAGTGCTTTCAGCTGCACATTATTACTATTACTATTAAGCATATGACCATCAAGGTAGGTTATAAAGATCTTAGAACCTTTTATCAGCAGACCTTTTCACAGTCTTATTGGACATTTTCATCTACGCGGTTAATTCCCAAAATTAAATTTTAAAATATTTTGTATTCATTTCACAAGCTAATGACTCATTTTCAAACCTCAAACCTCAAAATGGTTTTAAAAACTCTTTAAAGTTTTTCAATAATGGATTATATGATGAGTAGCATCATGACTGTTTGCAGGGGATCGCAGGTTTATCCATTAAGCCAGATCAATTTCCATTAATGTAAGTAACTTGCACGCACAACCAAGATCATTCATTTGAAATCTTCCATATCTCTTCTGGAAAATATAAGAAATTTCTATATTAATTTATGAGTACGAATGATGAATGAAGTAATTGAATGGTATGCCATACACATGAGTAATAAAGTACATAACATTTCACACGGATTTCATATATTTCCAGCATGATGATGTTGTGCAAGTGATGAAATATGGTGTTTTTATTGAAGCATTCATATCGTTGCTGTATATTAGAAGTTAAAATCTACTATATAAAAAAATGAGAAAAAAAAGAGTTGAGAGTTGATGAAGAGAGTACAATGACTAACTATAAACCACACATAATTATTCAAAAGCAGAAACAAATTAAACCAAATGTAGAATTTTTTTTCTTCTCTTTTTTCTGTCATTTTGTTGTTAATTAATTACGTAGTTCTGTTTTTTCTTCTTTTCTTTCACTTCATCTGACTTCTAAAATGATTTAACATTACTTCGTATGATTGTCAACGGCGTAAATTGCCTTTGCCTTTGTGTTACGGAATTTACGAAGTTGGTGTAGAAAATTATCTGAGAAGGGAAGTGATATCATACATCAAACATTAATTTATTTATTATATAGGAGAAAAATGTTTGCACAAAAAAACATAATCAACAAAATGAATACTTGAACAAGTCAGAGAGGCTTATAGTTTAAGTTGCAGGCACGAATAAATTTCTGAATTATCATTAGAAGGAGTTTACTCATTACTTAAGCTTCACGAAGAAGGATGTTCTGAGATTTTAAGCAGAGCTCGAAGTCGATAGGGTTCGAGTAGACTCGAGTTACAAGCACAAGCTATATTAAGGCGTATTCTTCTAATTTTTGCAGATTATAATTTGCAATCCAGTTGCTTCGAATTTATGTAGCAATTGGACAGAAATAACTTATTGAAGTTTGGAACATGAATAAATGAACAGAATTAATGGCATAATAATTCTTTACAGTGAGTTTACAGCATGTAACGCGGAATGACATATAATGTCTTGTTCCTGTGTCACGACAAAAGCGAAAAATCATTTAAGTGCGCATATTAACTGCTGAGAAGATTTTTATGGGAAAAACTTACAAACGCACACATGTGATAAAGAAGAAATAGAATGAAATTTGTCATTCTTAAGAAAGGGTTTATTACCGAATACAAGTCAAAAGTACCACGATAATTCATCGTTTCGAGATTTCCATGAAAAATTAAATGAAATGTGTGTGAGAAATTTTTTTTCTCCTCATCTTGTTCCTCTTCCCTCGCAATATTTATCACACACAATGCACTTCTCTTTTCAACTCTGATGCAATTTGTAACTGTAAACTCAAAGATATGCACTTGAATGTAATTTTATGAGAATATTACAACAAAAAAAGAATTTAATGAGTTTAAGTCATTAAATACCATTCACATCACTTTCAACTAACTTGTCTTCTTGTGAATGTCTTGTTGCTATAGTCTCTTTAAAAATGACATGGAATGACATTTAAGAGATGAATAATATAAACATATATATAAAATTTTTGTGTTTACAATTAAATTAAATTTTTGTTTTCCATCTTCTGCTGTTCTTAATTAAATTACATTTTTTTGTTTTAATTTCATGCATTTAATGAGTAAATGTCGATAAAATTGCTTTTCGAGATGAGATAAGTTAAACAGATTAAATTGTTTCATTAACCAGAATGCTTCTTGGATATAATTCAAGTTTTTAAAAAAGGGTCCATTTTCAGGACTTCCAATAATATACGGAAAGCTGGACATCTGTTAATAAAGGTTTTTGTCGATAACCAAGCCAAAACTTCTCAGATCTTTTAGTTCCTTAAAAACTATTCAACAGGTTTTAATTCATTATTTTAGGAAAATAAGAAGATTAAACTTTTAAAGCAACATAACAAAAATTAAAGTTCAAAATAGAGTTCAAGACTGCGGCAACTTCACATGCAGCTCTGATGAGTAAACAGCAATAAAATTACCACATGAAAATTTCTTTATCAAAATATTCTCCCAATTTTCATTTTTAATAGAGTACAAAAAACTGTTTGTCACATTTTTAAAACATTTTCATTAATTAATCCTCATAATTCCGACTTGTTCTCACACTAAAAACTTGTAATAAAAATTTATAACAGTGATGATGATGATCTTTATTTTATTTTATTATTTTATGTATGTTTTTTATTTCCTAAAGTAATTTTCAATTTTTTCCTCACTCTTCTATCTTCCCCCACTCCTTTAATGACAACAAGAAGGAATGCAGTAAGACCTTCAACAGAAAAACGATTGACTCCTGCATCAATCAACAAATTGTTTTTATGACCTTTTCCGTCTCTCAGAAATTCATCCCCATCAAACAATCTTCTCATAATTAATATGAAATGAAATATAAAGAAATAAGTTTTTTTTTTGTTGAATGTTGATATCTGGTGCCACTAAAATAATGTGCCTTTGCCATGGATTATTGAGAAACACCGACTTATGACATACAACATGTGTGTGCACACAAAATAATAATAATAATCATAAAGAACGAATGAAACAAAATCAGTTAAAGAACTTGTGGCTTTTTAAAGTTTAAAGACGCATTTCAGTCCCGAGCTGTTAATCAGTTGTTGTTGTTGGTTCTAATTATATATTTTTGTCAGGTTAATGAAATTGACTGTAAACTCAACTGCCATTAAGTGCAATATATTGTATCAATTATGATTATTTGTTGTTAAACTATCAGTTTCTAAGCAAAGAGACATTATGAGGATGTAGACACTCTTAGCATAAAAGATGTTAAAAAAACTTTAAATAAGAAAAACAACAAAAAAGGTTTTATTAATTTCAATAAAGCACACACAAAAAAATTTAAATGAAACAAATGTGATCGCCTGAGCATGGTGATGTGAGACGCGAATGTGTACACTGGCATTGCCGTTCTTTCATTTTCATTCCACATTCTATATATTTCTCATATAATTATTAAGTATATACATACATATATGTATATTATACAAACAGCACATCAGAAATGGAGATCTGTAAAAGTCATTAAACATCTTATATGATATTCATTCGCCACAGAAAATTAAATGCCAACAGTGAGGAGTTTAGCTCTGGCTTCTGTTGCATAGGCTGGACTGAACTGTTCTGATAATTTTATCAGAATTCTGTTATTTATCGGAATTGTTCTGTTAATATTATCAGAATTCCGATAAATATCGAAAAAGTTCTGTTAAAAAGTTCAGTTAATAAAATTGCGATTCGCAATTATTTTTCAGAACTGTTCTGTTATTTATCAGAATTCTGTTAATTTTTTTTCATATTTAATAAATTATTTTAAATAATAATAAAAAGAAGTTAAATCATAAGTCTAAACGTCATTTTCAAATATAACTTCCTGTATAACTCAAAAAAAAACACTTGAGGTTTATAAGTCCTGACACAAACTGGAGTTGGACTTAAAAACCTCACATGTAGATCACTATTCCGGAAATTTATAAATATTTATAAATAAACTCACAGTGTAATTATGAGTAGTCTCATTTTTCTGGGTGTCAAACCCAAATCCTAAAACGTATCCCAAATGATTGAAAAATTTCTGAGCTATTCAAACCAGAAATAAATCAAATGATTCATAAATATTGTATAGCCCAAGACGCTTCAAATGAGCGGTTTATTTTAATATAAAAGATACTCTAGAGTAAATCTGCAAAATTATGAAACTGGCAAAAAGCGAGTTGTAATATTTCTCTACTTGGAAAAATTTGAAAAATAAAAACTCGTTACAATTTTTGAACAAAAATAAACATTATTTTTAAGTCACTGCATAATTTAGATATTTCAACTGATTATGATCTTAACGTTTTATAACTTTTGAAAATTTATCGTGTGTTACGAAAAAATACTCTAAACTGATGTTTTGCAACAAAGTGTTCTTGCAGGAGAGATTGACGCTTTTTTCTTTAATTTCTCTTAATTAAGTGACTTTTTTTAACACCTGATAAAAGAATGCGGTAGAAAATTAAATTTGAAATGCTATAAAACAAGTCTGGTGCTGTCTAGATTTATAATTAAGAAAATTTTTGCTTTTTTTGAAAATAAATTTCGATTGCAGGAGAGATTGACGCCAGAAAAATCAAAATATCTCTTTAATCAATGATTTATTTCATGCCAAAGTTATCAAAAGTTGTACATTTGTCGGAAATACGCATGTTTTGGTATTAAAATATCACTTAAATAGCCAAATAGAAGAGAAATTTGAGAAAAACAAAAATTTGGAGCTTTTTATTGTCCGCGGATTTGCCCTATATTAAAAAATTTTAACAATTTTATGACCCAAATACTTAAACCTTGACCCAAATAGTAAATATTCTAAGAAATGAAAATCAGTTGTTTGAACAAATAAATTAGAAAATCCTAGAT